CCAGCCTTTATAAGCCGGCGCCATATTCCTGGCTCCTCCTTCTTCTTCACTACACACGTGTCTTCCACAGGCCTGGGCACTCTCTGTCCCTTTTATCTTAATAAAACTCTTATTAGCTGATTCTGTTATGTTTCATGACATTTCCTTGCAGGGTAAGAGCACAGCACCGCAAAATAACTAACACAGTTCTCTCTCACGTGGGTTCTGGGGATTGAACTCTGGTTATCAGGCTTACCAAGCCATCTTGCCAATCCTAAAAACATATTTAAGCTGGTGCACAGATGGGGGGGTGCCCTTCGTGGAACTTCTAACAGGAACCTTGGCAAAAATCAGGACAGAAGGGCAAGACTTTTTCTATGGTCCCTGTAGTGGTTTGAATAGGAGTGGCCCCAGAGGCTCATGCATTCGAATGCTTAGTCATCAGGGAATGGCACTACTTGAGAAGGATTAGAAGGTGTGGCCTTGTAGGAGGAAGTGTGGGTGGGCTTTGAAGTTTCAAAACCCAAATTAGGCCCAGTGCTGCTCTCTCTCCCTGCTCCCTGCTGATCCAGATGTGGAACTCTTGGTTCCTTTTTCCAGCACCGTGTCTGCCTGTGTGCTATGCCATTATGCTGATAATGGATTAAATTTCTGAAACTGTAAGCCAGCCCTCATAAAATGCTTTGTTTTATAAGAGTTGCTGTGGTCATGGTGTCTCTTCCCAGCAATAGATCACTGACTAAGACAGTCCCCAAGGGAGAGGGCATGGACTAGTGCCACCCAGGAGCACCTGGAAAAGCTGCGTGAGTCAGAAGTTTCCCTCATGAGATGACTGAAGTACATCCCATCATCTGACATCCACACTAGTGAATGGGGACAGAGTCTCATCCAAAACCCCAGGTCCATTTTAGCATCAAAGGACAGACAAACCATGCCAACTCTGAACAAGGATGGGCCAGTCCTAGTTCCAGTCCCACAGGCTATCCTAAGACCACGCGCCTTACGGAGATGACCCACACTGTACAGATGTGGGAATGGACCAAATGGCACCTCAATTGGTGCAGACTCCCAAGCCCTCCCTGATGTGGCGCATAAAAGGCAGTGGGAGCGCGGTCTTCTCGGCCATGGTCCTACTCAGCCCCGGGATGCCTCCAGCATCCAGCTCCAGCAGAGGAGCACTGGATGGGGGTGAAGGCAAAGCTGCAGTTTCTCTCCTTCCCACACGGAGGAGCCTGTGAAACAGCCAATCTGGTAAGGGTCTGAGAAATTGCTTGTGCAATCTCCCTACCATCCAGCAGGTGGCAGTGTGGCACTGCAAAACCCTACCTCTCCTTGTATGCCCCCATTACAAGTTGGCTCTTGTTTGCTTGAGACAGGGTCTCTTGTGTATCGCTAGCTGTCCTGGAACTCACTATGGAGACCAAGCTGGCCTCAAACTCAGTGATCCACCTGCCCTGCCTCCCAAGTGCTGGGATTAAAGACATGTGCCACCACGCCCAGCAATCTTGCCTGTTAGGAACCTGGCGACTATCCTGTCCCCTGGTTTTCCCCAGCCCAAGTCCCTCTGCACTGGTGATAGGTGATATTGAATGTTCTTGATTCATTGGATGTCTCTGTTTCTCTCCTGTTGCTGTGACAGATGCCCTGACAGAAGCAACTGAAGGGAAGACCGGTTTGTTTTCATTCACAGTTAAAGTCCAGTCCATCACAGTGAGAAATCAAGGTGACGGAGTTTGAAACAGACGATCATATCATATCCAGACAGAGTAAGAGAGCAAGCGATGCATGCTGACACCACTGTCATTTTCTACAGCCGGGGATGTACCTGCCTTCCACTTCTACTGTCACAATCAGCCCCCACAGAACACCCAGAGCTCCGTCTCCCGGGCCATTTCAGTTCTGTCAAGCAGGCCATGAACACTAACCACCTAACTGGAGGACATGTCTGTTATCCATCCCATCACAGGCCCAGGCAACGCAATCTCCCTGGCAATGTCAATGTGAAAGCCTTACCCTGGGCAATGCTTGAAGACCTACCTCATCCATGGCTGTGGCCTAGACTCGAGTGCATCCTGCTGACATGCCCACATAACATTTCCACGTCCTCACAATGTCCACTCAACATCACCCAAGGGCCTCACATTCAACAGGTCCACGGAGGCCATGCTCTATACACAGGCTGAGATCTGGACCCCAACCAAACAGTGCACTCTCCCCAGGCTCCCACACTGCTTTGGTCAAGCCCTGGACAGCTTTACTGGACTGCAGCAGATACAGGCAAAGGTGCCCCTTCTCCTTCCTGCCTATGCAGCTGTGACCATGGCTGTGGTCTTAAAGATACTCTGTGGTGGTAATCTAATTGTACTGAATTATTATTTTGATTGTATGTTAATAAATAAAGTTGTCTGGGAGTCAGAGCTATTAGAGCCATAGCAAGAGCCGGGCGGTGGTGGCACACGCCTTTAATCCCATAGGTATCTGTGTGTTCAGGGTCAGAGCTATTAGAGCCATAGCAAGAGTGTGGCGGTGGTGGCACACGCCTTTAATCCCATAAGATCTCTGTGTGTTCAGGGATATAGTCAGCATTGGAGACATATGCCTTTAAGACCTAGGGGGCTGTACATTCAGACAGTGACGAGGCAGTCATGTGTTTGGGTTTACAACCAATGAGAAGGCAGAACAACATACTATAAAAAAACGAACCGACAGGAAGTAGGTCTCTTTTCGCGAAGCTGGGACAGCAGGAAGAAGGGTGAGATTTTAGCTCTGAGCTCTGACTTCTCGGCTTTCTCTTTTACATTGTTTCTGTGTTTCTTATTTAATAAGACGGTTGGTTACATCTACAATACTCTCCTGGGGTGTCTCCCTGAAGGCTAACCTCCCTGTCTGCCAAGAAGACTGCTCCGGACAGCATCAGCGATGGTGCTGCAGCAGCTGCATGCCTCTCCATCCCTGGATCCCAATGGCCCCTGCGGCTCATCTTGTGGGCCTTGCCCCTTCTGATTGCCTGATGTGCCCCCCATCCCAGCCCTGGGCCTAAACCATGCCTCACTTTCAGATCCAGGCTCAATCACACTGGATTCTCCACCAACTCCCACCCACACCTGCCAACAGCCAGGGGCAGGCACTTGGAAAAGGCCTCACAGAGACACCTCATCCTTTGGGCCAAGATGTCCTTCTAGGTGATGCCTGCCCTCTGCAACATAGCTGGCCACATGGTGAGCCAGTTCAGAGCAGTCAAGAAGCTGTTATCTGGCCTCTTTCTTTTCCAGGCCCAGAGCAAAGCCTAATGTTCCTTAAGCATATATCCACATATTTTTATCTGTGTTCTTTTGCGGGGAGGAGGATCAAGACAGGGTTTCTCTGTCTAACAGCCCTGGCTGTCCTGGAACTAGCTCTATAGACCAGACTAGCCTCAAACTCAGAGATCCACCTGCCTCTGCCTCCTGAGTGCTGGGATTAAAGGCATGTGCCAACACCATGCCTGGCTCATCTGTGTTCTAGCATACTGGTAATGCTATAGTGCCCCCAGAATCTTCCAGAAAACATAGCTCTCACCCATTCACTTCACAAATGTGCATCAGGCATCTGTGCATTCTTGGAGAGTGTTCAGCAATTGAATCATCTTCTCTTTCCAGTGAAACTCAGAACAGAGAGGTTAACTGACTCTGCCAAGGTCACACAGCATGACCTTATGAGTGATTCTGCCTTATGCTGGAAGCCAGAGTGACTCCATCTCTCACCTTAGTGAAGAAAATCCACCTCTTGCTGAAACCAGAGTCCTGTCAGGTTCACACCTTGAGAGGCTCTGGGCAAAGAACTAAGCCCCTTAGCAACCTTCACATTTGGGGCTTTAGTTAACAATCTTGGAGGAAGGCCAACCAGCAGCTATTCATGTTCTGTAGGTAGAAAGGGAACCTTGGGTGCCAGCCTCCTACCTCATGCAGTATCAGAAACTCCACCTGCTCTGCCCCTCCCAGCTTCAGACAATCTGAGCCTCCAGTACCCAGGGCAGAGACTTTGGCTCCAAGGCTCCCAACCCTAGAGGAAAGATGAACCAGTGCCCTGCACAGGCCCTGCTCCTGAGTAGGGGCGACAATTTTGGAAGCAGACATTCTGGACCAGTTGGGGCACATGAAACACTCAGATCTAGGTTACCTATTGCGTGTGGGGGTGTGTGTGTGAGCTGAGACTGAGGCCCCAGTCGCTCACCAACAACGAGTCTGGACACTTCCCTTCTCCAACGATCTCTAATCTGCCCTCAAAATCTAGCTCCTCCTCTCTCCAGACAAAACTGAGAAAATCCATCCTACTCTTCCCCTAGGACAAGACTGGGGATCTTTCACCTGAGAAGTCAAGGCTGTCCGTCCTAAGCAAAGGGTGTTTCATCCTAAACACCGGTCCTCACCTCAAACCAAAACTCGAGACCACAGGAGCCACACTGGGACGCACTTGGTGGTGAAGCGACAGACTTGGGTAAGGGACTAGACGCCTTTGGGAAGGTGATGACTCAACTCGTAGGGCCAGACCTCTGATCACCTAGTGCTGAGAACTCCCGCTTGGCTGGCTCCTGTGGGTGGGGACCCAAAACAAGGCAAGACTGAAGCTGGCGCTGCTCCAGGACCAGAGCATTTGAGGCGGTGACCCTCCCCACCAAGGAAACGTGAGATGGCAGTTGTGGCACCAAGAAGCAGGCAAGGCGCTCCCGGGTCCCGCGGTTCCCATCTCCCGGCTTGTAGGTCTGCATAGCGAGCGGAGCGGAGTGGGGCTGGGAAGACGCGGGCAGCTGGTCCCCTCTGATTGGAGGACGCGAAGTCCCAGCGGGCACCTCCGCAGCTTAAAAAACGAAGCCCGGACGAGTAGGAGCTAGAGCGGCCCCGGCCGGCCATGCGCCTTGACGAGGAGGTGTGGAAGGGGTGGCGGCCGGAGAGGCCACGCGGAGGCCCAAGGACCGACAGACGGCCGAGCAGCCGGACGCGCCCGCGGGATAGAAAGCTGCACTGAGATAGCAGGCCCCAGAGGGTCATGGCGGAGCTCAAGTCGCTGTCTGGGGAAACGTACCTGGCACTGAGCCACGGCTACACCGCGACCGGCCACGCCTACGCAGCGGCGCGCGGACCAGAAACTACTCGAGGCTTTGGTGCATCCAGTCCAGGTGGCGACCTCCCGGCGGCGCCTGCTTCCCGCGTCCCTGCCGCGACGGTCGAGAGCAGTGGGGAGCAGAGCGGCGACGAGGACGACGCCTTCGAGAGCCGGCGGCGGCGGCGAGGGCCCGGGGTCTCGGTGGATGCACGGCGGCGGCCCCGGGAGCAGCGCTCTCTACGGCTGAGCATCAACGCACGCGAACGACGGCGAATGCACGACCTGAACGACGCGCTGGACGGACTGCGCGCAGTCATCCCCTATGCGCACAGCCCGTCGGTGCGCAAGCTCTCCAAGATCGCCACGCTGCTGCTGGCCAAGAACTACATCCTCATGCAGGCTCAGGCCCTGGAGGAGATGCGGCGCCTGGTGGCCTACCTCAACCAAGGCCACGGCCTCGCTGCGCCTGTGGCCGCCACGCCACTGACCCCCTTCGGCCAGGCAGCAGTCTACCCGTTCTCGGCGGGCGCGGCGCTCGGGCCCTGCCCAGACAAGTGTGCCGCCTTCTCCGGATCGCCCTCGGCGCTTTGCAAGCACTGCGGCGAGAAGCCCTGACGGTGCGAGTCCCTCCGCAGCCGCCTATTTAGACTATCCACTGTCCTCACTGGCGGGACCCGATGGGGAGAAGGCAGCCGGACCCCGGACCGACCCTGCTTGCAGAACTGTTGGGTGCAGAACGCGAAGTCGGTTCTGGCAGAGTCAGACTGTACTCAAGACCCCACCGCATCCACAGAGCTCTCTCGGCGTCCGCTGGGCGTTGTCAGCGCTCTAGAGGTGAGAACGACAAATTACCAGCCGTCCGCCAAAAGAAAGCCACTGGGAGGGAACAGGTAGTGGCTGGTCCCACTTCTGACAGGTGACTCTGCTCTGGAGCGCAAGCACAGAGCATCACTTGACCACTTCCTAACACTAGGGATCGTCCTCTGCCCCAATCCCTTCTAAGCCAACCTGCAGGGCCTTGCTCCGTGTGGACCCTCAACGGGGACCTCTAACAGCTCCAAGACTCCGGACCGGCCGCTGAGCGAGATTGCCCCGCAGTCCTTTGCAAAGGACATGAGGGCAGGCGTAGGAAGAATCCAGGAGCTGAGATTTGCAGCATTTTCCAAGTCTGAGCTTGTTCTCTTAACGTTCTTTCCTGCCCAAAGGCTCAGGAAACCGACTTTGGCCTCAAAGTCTGTGAACTCATCCCTAAATATGCCCGGATCTCCAGCGCCTGCCTCCAGTGGGCTGGGATGGACGTCATTTCGTTCTGCATGTTCCAAGGGGACTGGTGGAATACAGGTCCTCACAACTTGCACGGGGCTACTTGACCCTGGAGGGTCAGCCAAGGCCTCCCGTCTAGATTCAGGGCCAACCAAACCCCTCTGCGCCAGTTCGGGAACTTCTGGAGGAAGCCGGGCTACCGGTGAGTACCCGGCCGCTGGACTGGTCGTTCGCAAAGTCGGACCGCAACCCAGAATCCTGACACTGTCCCTAGTCAGAGGCTTAGCCCGGGAGCCCGAGATGCTTGCTGGTTTTCGCTCGGTGGGTCGGCAGTTTCCGCCTCTGCTTACCCAATTATCTTGGCCTTCGTAGATGCAAAGCAAATCGGGAGAGGGCTGCCGCCCTACAAAGCGCCTGTCTATAGCGCTTAACTTCAATTAATGCATTTGAAAAGGCCCTTTTGTATTTGCAAAATGACGTGTGTGATTAAGTCTTATTCATAAAGACGTATGCTTAATACTGGTTTCTGCTCATTTCCATTTTTTTATTTCTTAATTGTCTTTTCCCCTCCCCTAAACTAGTCTGCTTTGCACATTTCAAAACAGACTGTTTGTCAAGTTCTCTTAAGATGAACAGGGAAAGCTGGAAACTCAAGTGTTGTTAGTTCTGGGGTCCTTACCCATAGTTATTTGAAAAAGTCCTGTATTTCTCTGTTAAGACCAGGGATAGTGTGCAGAATAAAGTATTTGATTTCAGCTTATTTTTACAAAAATAATATTATTAAAATTTAATATCAAATTAAGTGCTATGACTTGATTTATAATTTCAATCTTCAGACAATGGTATTGACTTGGGATCCTTCTTCTAGAGCCCCAAGAAGTCTTTGAGATTTTAAAATGGATCCGTAGGCCATTAACAGATACGTGAGTTCACATGAGAAAGGTGAAGTGGGGTGACATACACCAGTGATCCCTAACCTGCAGGAGACTGAAGCAAGGGAATGGAAATTTTGAGGTCAGCCTTAGTGGGACCCTCTCAGAAAAAAGGAAGGGAAAAAAAAAAACTTTGGAAAAGAAAAGGGAAAAAAATCTTCCCCTAGAATGAAAGCAGCGTTTAAAGAGTGGGGTGTGGTAGTGGTTCATAAGCTACCTCAACACTTGAGAAATAGAAATGGGAGAATTATTTCAATTCAATTTCAGTCTGAACTACAAGACCTTGTCTAAATAAAACAATAACAACCCAAAAAAACAACTTCTAACCATTTTACTAATAAAAATATCCCCAATCACTAGTCTTAACTAAAAGTTCAAACTAAATCAGAACATTTTAAAACTGCAAGTTGTTCTCCAAATATTAGCAAAACTTTCACTGGGATGAATGAGTAAAGTGGGGTTTTTCAAAGTGAAAATCCATAGCTTTCTTAATTGTGGCTATTAATAAAGCAATGTGATATTAATAAAAACAATTGTGGCCATTAATAAAGCATCCTTGAATTTGCACAGCAAGCTTTGATTCTGAGGCCACCCTTTATCACCTCAGCGCTGAACAGCAAAATCCAGCCACCAAAGGCCCCTGCTGTAAGTGTGGCTCTTTTGAAGCAACTCATGGGGGCTCTGGTTGTTTCTTCCCTGGGAGTAAAGGGTTAAGCTCCTGTGGGTGAGAATCACTGTGAGTCATTGGGGAAGCACTTCATTTACACCTGGGATTTGAACTAGCATTCTGCAGAGCTCATTGTTTCTTCTTGTTGTGGTTGTTTTTGTTTTGTTGTTTTGTTTTGCTTGTATTTTTGTTTTGTTTTCTAGGAAAGTGGGTGTGGTTGTGTTAAGGCAGTGTCCCCAGACCTGGGATCTTCCCTCTATGCTGAGTCAGTGTGTCCCACACAGGGAAGTGGGGGCTATGTGAAGCTTACATTTTCCTAGAGGCTGTGTAAAACATGAACAGAGATGGGTAAAATCATTTTTGTTGGTGATGTTTATGTCTCCACATGTAATCATGGCAGCCTTCAAGTCGCCGTCTTGCTCACCGAGCTCACCTCTTCCTACCAGAGATGTTTCCAGTACTCCACGCTCATTCGTGGCTCATGGTCACAGTGGCCTTGGGGCAGCTCCAGCTGTGACTATATAGAGCACTGAAATGCCCTTTGCTTCTCCCCTTTGTCTGATAATTACCAAGAAATGCCACCGATCTAGGGAACAGATTCTAGAGCCACGCAAACGCAAACGCAAACGCACAGTGCTCTATCCCTTTTCTCTTTCGACACTGCTCATAAAATCTCTCAAAGATGCTAGGGGTGGGACTGATGAGAAAAGCCACTGTCAGCTGCCCATCAATAGGGGGATGGGCAATGTCCATTGAGTCTCTGGCCCCATGTCCTCCTGCTTCACATTGTCTGACCACACCCAAGCCAGGGGAACCCACCATCAAACAAGGCTGGAAGCCGGTGACAACCCTAGGTCCCTCCCACCTGGGAAGAGGTAGTTTTGAATCAGCACCACTTTCCTCTGCTGACCACATGAGTGAAGTCAGCCTTGCTGGTTGCTAGTTGAGCAGCTCAAAGACACTGACTTGGCCTATCCTGAGAAGGGCATGGTGGAGTCCAACTTACAGGGGCTTGAGGGGTATGAGCCCAGTGGCTCCCTAGGAACCACATTGCCCAGCCGGGTCCTACACCATCTTCACTAACTGTCATGTCCACTCCAGGATGTCTGATCTGGCCTGCTACTCTCCCCAGGGCATCCAGCTTGCCACACAGGTCAGGAGACCTGATTTAAGAGCCAAGACTCTTAAGTTCAACATCACCTCCCTTCCCCTCCTTTCTTAAAAGCACACAGACCGGTCTCTCCTTAAGTTTCTATGCTTTGTGCTTCCTGTAACTGAAACACTGCAGGTACCAGCCACATAAAGCCAAACTGTTTGCTGACGGTTCTCCCATCAACACCTGGGGCTTGTGGCGTATTCAGTCCCCACAGACCTCAAGGTTCCATCTACACAAAGGTCTTTGTTTCTCCCAAGTTAAGAAAACTTGTTCTGAAACACACACACACACACACACACACACACACACACCACAGAGCCAGGCTGTCGGGGCATCCAACAACTCTGAATGCTACTGAAAGTTCAGCTCCAACCCCAGAGAAGTAGAGGTGGCCCAAGGCACCCCTTTCCCAGCATCCCCTCCAACTCTGCAGATGTTTCATTTTGTTAATTTCATCTCAGAGTTGAATTCACACCCTCTCTCATGCAGATTTACCCAACTCATTGGAGAATCAAGTAGAAGTGTCCCCAGCCCAGATGAAAATATTAACAGGAGGGACTTTTAAAAATACTTACTTTATTTTTAACTGTGTGTATCTGTGGGTTGATATAAGCACACAAGTGCTGATGCCCTCAGAGACCTGAGGTATTGGATCCTCCTGGAGTTGAAAGTTACAGGTAGTTATGAACTGCCTGGTGTGGGGCTGGGAAACAAACTTGGGTTCTCTGGACAAGCAGCCAGTGTTCTTAATCTTTAAGCCATCTCTCCAGCCTCGAGAGGCACTTTTAGAAAATGTTCTTACTTTTACACTTTTACTTACTTTGTATGTGACAGAGAGGGGCGTGCGTGCATAACACACATGTGGAGAGCAGAGAACAACTTTCAGGAGTCAGTTCTTTCCTTCTACCATATGGGTCCAAACTCAAGTCATCACCTTGGTGGCAGGGGCCTTTCCTGCTAAGCCATCCTACCGGCACAGGAGGTACTCCTTCACAAAGGACAAACACTATTTTTCTAATTTTCTATAGCAAGTGAAAAACCACCATCTCATCCCCAAAGTCACTTGGGCCATACCGTCGGCTCTGCCAAAGGAAAGAAGCCGGAGTGCAATTGCTGAGCAGAGGCTCCTAAGCCTGGGTTAATCCGGCAGAGAAGGATGACAGCAATTGTATAATGTAAATTTGTTTGTGATCTGTTTCTGGTCTTTATTCCCTTTTGAAGGGATGGAGATGGAGGGATTTGCAATGTATTAAACCATTTCTCTAACAATTGCCTCTTTGTAACCAGCCGTTCGTTGTGTTCCAACACCTCAACCACAGTCTGTTCTGGAAAACAGGAAAGATACGACATGAATGCAAACACCCCCCCAGAGGAACAAAGCCCATGTTGCCATGATTGCCATGTTGCCAGAAAGGTTCCAACGATTAGCTAACTGACCTTCAAAGCCAGTATTGTCCCTTCGGTAAAAGGGACTCAGGTCAGTGCTTTGCCGGCCTGAAGCTCCCCCGTGGGCATTTACTTATGTCATGTAGAAAAGCTGCTTTTGAGTCACTACCAGAAAGGAGGGTGACAGTTGTGGGCTGCACATGGGGAAGAGGGTCTCTGAGTAGGCCAGCATTGCCCTGGGTCACTATCTCTGTTCTCCAAGATTACCTTTGTAAACTTCTGGGGCTCAAGCAGCCAGAGTCTGCATAAAGGGAGGCATGACCATCACAATGTAATGTTGAGCCGGGTGTGACCCTTGGGTGGCCTGTGTTCTCAAGACTCTCAGGTCACCTGGCATGCCCATTCTACCCTGGGCTACTAACTTAGGAGCTCAGAATGACAGCCAGCACATCAGAGAATACCTACCTAATGGATCTTTCTGTCCAGTTTCTACCTCTGAGTCCGACTTTGTCCAAAGCAATGAACACCTAGTTGTCACCCTCCCCAGGCCTCTGATTTAGCCTGACATGAGGCTAGTCTCTCTAGCCTCCGCAGCTGCACCAAGCCTTCTCAGCACTTCCTGCTTTCTGAGTACTAAATGTTCTAAAACCCCTGGAAACAAATGGTTTCACACAGGGAAGATTCCATCTTACACAGCCCCAGCAGACCCTGAGGCATCAAGTGATCTTCAGTCTGCCTTGGCCAATGCTGTGGTGCCATGGTCTGATGAGGGCCAGAGACAGCCCCAGAGGAGCACTTCATGACCTTTCTGTCTGACTGTGGTGGTGTGGGTGGGAGTCAGGACTTCAAAGTCCACGGACTTTGTGCTTATGCTCTGTGTACAGCAGTGGAACACTGTCCGTGAGCTGCACGCTGGATTCCATGTTTAACACATCCAAGTGGGAACAGACCACAGTGTCAGTGTCAGAAATGTACAAATGCACCATCAATGAGCTGGTTAGTGCCAAGGACCTCAGCAACAGGCTGATTCAGAAGGACTGTTGAGACAAGTACACTGGACAGAGACAAGTAGCCTCTGGACAGAGCTATTCCTTCTACCCAGTGTGTCCTCATACACTCCACAGAGGATGCTAGGGAATCAGAACTTCCAATGTTTAGGACAAATAAAATGATATTAATTCAGAACTTTCCAGGCTGTTTGTTCTACCTTGGTGACTCAGAGGACCAGAAGGAGGAAAAACATCAACCAGAATGGACAAAACCTGCTCCTGGAGTGTAATTGTTAAAAGGTCTTATTAATAAGAACAAACTCAGTGCCAGGTATTGGGGTGAATGCT